ATACTTGGATAAAAGGAAAACTTGCAGTATGATGCATTAGTGCTGTGCAATTTTTAATTGAGATTACTATTACGGCTGTTGTGGAGAAGTGTCAATTTTTAGTTTGTGTTGGGAATCATTTTTATTTATGAAATTTGGCATTGTAACAATCTCAAATTGTTATTAATACTGATTTTCTTGATTTCATTCTGACTTTGATTCAATCAAATTCTACGTTGTTTTATTGTATTCCCAAGTCAATTGGCTTTATGCACAGCTGCACTACTTCCTGAACTTCAGCCAGCTTCTTGTTTCCTGTCTGCCATTATTGGCCAAATTGATTAATTCAGGTGTGTCTGATTATTGTTGCCATGACTACTGAGGTCAAGCACACCTGAATTAATCAATTTGGCCAATAATGGCAGACAGGAAACAAGGAGCTGGCTGAAGTTCAGGAAGTAACGCAGCTGTGCATAAAGCCCATTGCTCTGTTAATGTTTTCTCTTTAAATGTCTAATAAATAAAATAAATCAAAAATAATCACAATATCTTTGGGAGTAGGAATGCACGATATTTTAAATGATCAGGATTGGCTGTAATGGCCTATCAAATATAGTCTGATACTTATAAAAAATAAATTAATATGGATACATTTCTTTGAACATTTCTACTGTCGTGTGTTGTTCATTTAATTTCTTGGCGAAGGATTTTGAGAATGTTTTTTTGTACTGTACATAAAGCGGTGTTCCTCAATTAACTTTACATTTAAATTGATTGATTTATTTTTTTTGTGATTTAATTTATTAAAACAGGATTGGGGTGTGCAATATTGACAAATTATATCGATATTTTCTTTTCTAATATCAGTAACCAGACAGTTGGTAGTCAATGAGACCAGAAATTGTCTGGTTACTGATATTCTTCTAAATATCAGAAAATCGGCTGAATGGATTAAAAACGGTAAAACTCAACTGTTTAACTCTGAGGGAGTTGTAAAATGAGGCTATTTCCAAAAAAAGTGGAGTATCCCTTTAATGAGCAAATCATTGTGATTCAACCAATTCATTGAAATGGCTGATTCATTCAAGGAAAGAAGCATTTGATCTGATCTGATCTGTAGCTATACTAATCAATGTATTCATTCAAAGCTTATTCACTCAGTAAGGAAACACCGCCGTGTGTGGCTAATTTTATATTTAAATGCTGTTTTCGTTGTTCTTGTTTATTACACTTGTATAAAATCAATATCACATTTCTTATCATGCTGATATTTGGAGAAAAACTGCACTCTTGGGATATTTATTAGCCTACTATATGATATAAATAAAGACTATCAAATCTAAATGCTCACCCAACTAGTTGAATCTACAAGAGTATGCATACATAGAGTATGCACACTCTAAAAAATGCTGGGTTGTTTTAACCCAATTTTGGGTAAAATATGGACAAACCCAGCCATTGGGTTACATTTTTAAATTACATTTTTAACCCAATGTGCTGGGTTTGTCCATATTTTACCCAAAATTGGGTTAAAAGAACCCAGCATTTTTTAGAGTGCATGCACTCTCTGGGTGTGTGTGAGGGATGAGTTATAAACAAAAGTTACGTTATTATTGCAGACTATATATATATATATATATATATCGCACACCCCTAAAAATGCTGGGTTGTTTTAACCCAATTTTGGGTCAAATATGGACAAACCTGAAATGTTGGGTTAAAAATGTAATGTAAAAATTTAACCCAACGGCTGGGTTAGTCCATATTTGACCCAAAGTTGGGTTAAAACGACCCAGCATTTTTTAGAGTGTAGACAGCATAAGTCATTTTAAAAAACAGCCATTTATTGGTTACCTCCCATAGCATGAAAATAATTATTGATCAGAGTCAAGAATTTTAACATCTGTATCTGTGTAACTTTAACCTTTGTTTTCATTTTTTATTTTTTTGTACGTAATTACGTACAGACCAAGGGTATGACAAATCTAGCATATTGGCTAAATCGACAGTCATTCCTTTAATCTTTATAATGACGCTGCAGGCCATTAACGTGACACAGAACTATCCCATCGCATTCACAGGAACACATACTAAAAAGAGCTACAGAAAGAACCATGCTCTTTTTGCTTTCTGACTCACTCGCCAGACTCCTGGTATTTGGCTGTCTCGCTTTTCAGCACTTCTTGCATGGACAGATCCTTGATGTGCAATACATGTACAGTCTCTCTTTAAGTGCGGCTGGCCGTCTATTGATGCTGTGGAGGGTGAAGGCATGATCCACCCTGAGGGAGGACCAGACATCCATAGCTTCAGAGCTTTTCACTGATGTCTGCCTTGTGCTCCACAGGAGCTGCTCCTCTGTCTGGTGTCTCACACATTTGTCCTGTGTACTACAGTATACATGAATGTGAGTCTGATACTGCTCCATTGGGCTAGGATTATGGGGGCGTGTTTTAACCGAACCAGGAAAGAAAATGCCTCTGCACTCAATTGGATAGATCTGCAACTAATCAGAGCAAAGGAGTAAGGGATGTAAGTTGAATCCCGTCAGAAGGACGGCGAAAAAATGCTTTGATCGCGGTTCTCTGCTCTTCTTTTTAAATGAATGCGCTGTTGAAATCTTTTTTATAAAAGCGGAATCTACACATCTCAATTCTCCAGCGGCAGCCATCTTTCTTGTAAACTAATTGAGTGCTCTTTGGTGACTTTGATGATTATGTTACTGTTGATCATTTGTCCATCATTGTATAAAGCCCGGCCTGACAATTTGATTGGTCCGAACAGCTCTGGTTCGAGCGTACTTGCTTCATAGCAGATTAAGTCCAGACCGAACTTCCCGAACTCAAATGTTGTGGGCGGGGCTAAGTTCGGCTGGCATCCAGGCTAGTATACAGAAATAGCAGCAAAGGAACTGCCCTGTGCCTTGTCACGTGACTGTCTATGCAAGCTCATAGCTAAATGGTCATCTCATAAGTCACTAGGGGGTCTATAAATCAGCCCAGACTTTCAGACACTGTATATGTAGTTTTTTTTTTTTTTTTTTTCGTTTTTTTTATGCTGAAGCACATTGGGAAACCAAGGAGACTGCAGAGAACGTAGGTGCCAGAATGGCATGACAGCTGTTAGATTCACACTTATAAACTTAAGGCCATTCAACGTTCACGCGTCATGCCCGCTCTATCAAGGTCCAAGGTCACGCTTGTACAGTTCATCCAAACGCGCAAACACGCGGTCTCTTTTAAGGCAGCACATGGCCTGAAGTACTGGGCATCCTTTAATCAAGGCTGACGTGTGACTCAGTCCCCATGCCAGTGAAGCACAAGAAAAAAAAAATACTAGGGATCACATCACTGGATGATAAGTTGGGGAAAAAGGTCACCGCAGAGATCTTTGTGTCTGTTTCCACCTCCAGGGAAGTAGTTTTATTTATTTATTTTTTTCCCTCCATTCCATTTTACTCATTGGCATTGGATGAACTTTACTTGCTAACCCAAATAAATTGTTAATGGACCTCAGGTCATTGAGAAGCATTCAGACACGGTGCATGTTCGCAATGGTGTGAATCCAGTGATTAAGGCCGCTTGGGCACTTTTTATTAGAAGAGGTCCAGGTCAGACTGGCTTTTTTTCCCCAGATACCCTTTGAAGCTGTAGATTGCATTGTCGCTTGAAGTGCAGTACTCAAAATAAGCAGCACAGCTCACAACACCTACTGTTATGCTGTGCTATGGACTCAAACGTGGCTGTTTTTGGTATGAATCCCTGATTTATTTTGAGGCGGTCCAGAGGGATTGACTTGGACGCGTTCCAGAGTGATGCAGAAAGTAGATAATTAAAGGAGCCCACTGCTTTTCCTGAATGTTTTGAGAGTAGGTAGAATGGGTAAGCAGCAACAGATAGGGTGGGTAATTACCTGGCATTACAGAGTGGGAGAAGGTGCCAGATGCCAGAGCGAGTAGGAGGAGGGGTGGGCAGATGCGAGCAGAGTAAATGCTTCACTCTACGTGCGACCCAGCATTCCTGTTGTCTTATAAACGGAGCACAAGGTCATGTGACCTGCCTTGCAATTCATTTCCTCGCCCCAACCGTAGTTGTGCTCGGTTTACACTGCATTTGCATAGTTGCATAGCAGATGGCTTTAACCGGGTCAGGTTTCCATAGTTTTGCATATTCTGTGTATTTTTGATGTTAAGGCTTGGTTTATGCCAGAGACTCCTCCATTGCTCCAAAGTCATTGTGCACACACGCACATATGCGCGCACACACACACAGAGTCAAAACGTCTGCTCTTTTTGTGGCATCATGCCATGGTGACTAGAAACATTTTGTTTTGAGATATATATCCAGTCATCAATGCTCAAAAATAAAAAAATGCTTGTCTCACACACACACACACACACACACATACTGGTTTCCATGTTGGATGGGGACCAACTTTATGACCATCACCTGTGGGGACCACCCTTTCTAAAGGGTTTAGAAGTATAAAAAAAATTAGGGATACTTACCATAACTTTGACAACTTATACACGCCTTTAAATATCTGAATTGATGAAGTAATGATTTGATCATGCACAATGGGGACATTTGAAAAATCGAGTGGACATGTCTCATAGGGACCCACTTTGCATAATTCACACCTCCCTTTCGATTTGTGGGGACCCAATTTGCATAATTCACACAACCTCCCAGTTGATTTGTGGGGACCTAGATAGAAAAATAATAGGCATTTACACTAGTAAATCTTCAGATTTCATTTATCCATTTGCCCTTAAAAATGGGTTTAATCTACAAGCAAGGAGAATTAAAATATGCAGTAGAACAACTTTGATTACTTAATGTGGAGATATAGTAAGGCCCGCATATGGTGCTAGTGACCCATTTCATACCCACAAATTATCCTTTCTATTATTGTAATTTTTCAGTCAACCTCCTCCAAGCATCAGCTGCTTCTCATTCACCTGACACTTATTTGAGACACATACTACTAATTGAGCTTCAATACATTAATTCACATTACGATTGCGGAATTCAACTTTTATTGAACTCAGCTTCACAAAACTCAAAATGAAGTCATACCTAAAAACAAGGTCCTGATATTAAAAGTATATAAAAAAAAATAACTTTCACACATGCTTCCTTTCACATACATGTGAATTTAAACAAACTACGACTTTAAATTAACTTTGTCCAACCAATGCTTTCCGACTGGTGGTCATCACGGTCATCATAAACATACTGTACTGCAAACATGACACTCTATTTGAAATGTTGTTTGATCAATGTTTTCCGACTGGTGGCCATCACAGTCATCATAAAACATATGGCAAACAAAATTATTCTATAGCCTACAAGTGTTTCTGTAGTTTTAAAGGGATAGTAAACCTTAAAACATCTTTAACCCTTTAAAATCTTTGAACAAAACCTGCCATGATGTTCACATTATTATTATTTGCACTGGAATTTCTTTTTGTAAGCTGTAATACGATTATAAATGTAAAATTTTACATTCTTCCAATCACGGTTCTTCAGTGCTCCTGGTTCAGCTTTCAAGCACTTTTCACAGTCGCTCTTTGCTGGTACAGTGAGCGATGTGATGAATCGCTGCATGTGCCTTTCCACCGCCTGCACCTCTGTCTGCTGCCAGGGTGTCTTCTGGGTACTTTTACCTAAGTGGACAGAAAAAAAACTATTGAAATGATAAAAGTGTGTGTGCTGCAATTACAATCTGTAGTTCTAAATCCTATAATAAGTATTTATTAGGTCTGCCCTCTAATAATCAACTATGATTTTATTAGTTAGTCGCAGGAAGAAAAAAAAAGCTTGCAGGTTATCACGCAGGCTTTGACAGACAAATCAATAACGGCAGTCTGAATGAAATCCAAACATTCGCCTATCAGTCAATGACCTTAAATATGGCTTATCACTTGAAACATGCAAGTAGTAATAACTTTACAAGTCACTCACTCTAATAACACATTTATCAGATTAACATTAGACTCATATCTGTGTGCGTGTGTGGAGACACTTTACTGTGTGAGAAGAAAATGAGCCGAACAGAAATGAGCCGAAACTCAGCATATACTCAACTCACACACACGATAATTCACTATAGAAAGCTCGGGGGAAAAAAAAAATATATATATATCGCTCTGGCCGTCAGGCCAGCGAGGCCGTGGAAAGATTCGTGGACACTCTGACATAAATCGAATGCTTGGTCTTTTTTTAAACCATTTAAAGGGGCCGCAAAAGCAAACAAGCATGTCAATTAGTTATTTTTGCAGAACATTGATCAAAGGAAATAACTTTATTATAGTGACATGTTTGCGAATGAAATAAACCAATTAAAAGCCATTTATGTGGTGTGGCTTTTGTGTTAATGGTTAAGTGCTATTCAACTTTACATTCCCACTGATAAACAAGTGTTCTAGCACGAAAATCAAGCCTATAGACAGTGTTGCGCGCCTTCTTATCAAATTCAAATGATCAATCTCTCCTATTGTGCTTGGGAAATAATGTGGACGGAACCAAAGTTACTTGACTGCATTCTCTGGAATCCTCTAAAGCAGAGCACTTCTACATTACAATTGGGTGCCGCAGAACCACGTCATAGCTCATTACCATAAAAGTTGACCTGATTTCAACTTCTCACCGCCCAAGACAACTAAACTACAGAAGGGTTCCTGAGCATTATGATATTGAAATTCATGTGCAAGGCAAGTTTTTTTATATAGCACATTTCATACACAATGGTAACTCAAAGTGCTTTGCATAGAAGAAATAAAAATAATCAAAATAAATCAGAATAATTAAAACAATTTAGAATAAAAAATAAAATACAGTAAATAATTAAAACAGTTTAGAATAAGAACATTAAATAAAATACAGTAACAGTCGTACGAACAGTGGCACAGTGCTCATTCAGTAAATGCACAGCTAAACGGATGTGTTTTGAGTCTGGATTTGAATGTGACTACTGTAGGAGCACACCTGATCTCTTCTGGACGCTGGTTCAGCATAATAGCTAAAAGCAGACTCTCCATGCTTAGAGTGAACCCTTGGTATTTCTAGCTGATGTGATCCTAGTGATCTAAGTGATCTGTTGGGTTTATATTCAGTGAGCATATCTACAATATATTGAGGTCCTAACCCATTAAATGATTTATATAACAGTGATAATACTTTAAAATCAATCCTAAATGTAACTGGGAGCCAGTGTAAAGACCTAAGGACTGGTGTAGAGGAACAATTAAGTTGCAAGTTTTCAAATCACTAAAGATTTGGCGGAAACGTCTCAAAATGGCAGAAAACAGGAAATGGCAAAAAAAACAAAATCAGCATTTAGTGATCTGGTCTGAAATCTGGGTATCAAAGTGCTCCTAAATTGTCTAATTTAGTTTTAGAAACGTGTAAAGATTTCACCTTTGGAAGAAGGCCTCACAGCACTGGCTTCTGTAGGCATCTCTTCATCTGCTGGTAGTCTGCGTCTCTTGGGTGGTGGCGGCATGTCACTCCTCTCGGTAGGAGGAAGTGCCACCTCTGAAGATGGTTCTATGGAAAATAATCAAAGTTCAATGTTTTCAGAAAGATATACATTTTAAAATTTACTATAAAATGCTGACAATTGAGTTTCCTCAAGAGTTTCCAGCCAAAGATTCCTGCCAGTCCTGTTTCTCTATTGTAGGTTAAACAAGTCAAATTACTAAGACCGTCTTTAAATGGCTCTAGGAGCCCGTTCCAGTCGTTGAATAGTCAGGCTGAATGGATTATCACCCATGTATCTGAATGACACTGTTATGCTAATGAGATCAGGGATGGGGAATTTCTAGTAATGAACTGACTTCCGTACTTCATTTACATGCTTTGTTTCAGAGTGTCTCCACCTCTATGTAAATCCCTCCCCTTGAAAGGTATATAAACAGGACAGTGAGTTCTCAGTAAAGAATCCTGCTTGAAAGATATCCCAATGTCTGTTGGTTCGAAGGAAAATTTTCCAACAGACAATACACAATGTGTTTAGTCACACTTATGCACGGATTATTTTAAATCATTAAAGTACAATAAACTCTTAAACCTGTGTAATTTTTCATTATTGCAAGTATAATTGAACTGCATCTTTCCAGCAGACATTTAATCAAACATAAGCTCAAGCAAACTAAGACATGAAATAAAATGGTTAATTACTTGATAATCTGACATGGTTCATTTAGTGCCATAACACAACAAACACGAGAAGAGAACGGATCAGCTAGCATTTTACGAAAAATGTGCACGTTTCTCTTATGAAACATAATTTTTATGGTAGTAAAGTCCACAAAAAATATTCACTCCAAAATAAATGTTTAGTGCAAGACATTTTGAAGAATAGCTTGGAGGCATTTGATTCATTACACAATGAGCAGTTTCGTTAATAAAAAAAGAAAAAAGCTTTTGTTCAGCATACTGAAGAATCTTCTTTAATGTTGGCTTTGATGTTAGAACATTGTTTTTGCATGTCAGGTCTTCACAAGTAAAGTGACTGAAACCTATGAATAACTGCAAAATCTAGTAGTGTATTTTGAAAGTAATACAAACCGTCAACAGTAGATGAACAGAGTCCCTCTGTTATGCTCTCGTCTTCCTCATCAGAGTTAAGAACTTTTTCTGTGGAAGTTCAAAGTAAAGCTTAATGGCATATAATAGATCGTAAACATGGTATTTGAATAGATGGTAAACAGAAAAATCAAACAAACGTCAAATAAAATACCACACCATCAGGATCTATCCCAATTTCATCCAAGTTCTTGCCATGGAACTCAGCTAATCTTCCTTGTTCAAGTGCCATTAGAACTTTGCTGATCTTGGCAAGTTGCAAGGTCTTCTCAGGGAGTCGATAGAACTCACGATGGATTCTTATGTCGTGTCCAAGGAAGTTTGCCAGCTGGTCCATCTCGGTGTCAGTCATATTCAGCACTGTTGAAAGCGTTGCGGCATGCTTTCGCAGCCTTGTAGATGTCAGTGACTTGGGACACTTTGCGCCACACACCTTAGCAAAGCCACGGAGGCAGTCTGACCCTCGAAAATGTGTCATGGCTTCTGGTCTTGCAAACATATAGGGATTGTCTTTCAGAACCCCACAAACCTCTCTCTGCTTAACAAGGAGTTCTAAGGCACATAGCATTTTTGGAGTCAGAAGAATTGGAACTGGTCGACCACGCTTTCCTCTTGTGATAACCCTTGTGAAGTGTCTGCAGAGTTTTTTTTCCACTTCAGAAAGTGCCCAGTCCACATCCTCATGTGGATGAGAAGTGTCTCTTGAAAGAAATGCAGACAAAGGCATACTCGAAACCTCTCCTTCCCTGCGGCGGTTAAAGAGAATCATCTGGGCTAGACACACCTTTGCCAGCTCCATCCAGGTTTTAGTAGAGGGACTTCCAGAGAGTGTTTTGAACCACTTCTCTTGCACTTCACTGAGATGTGTGTGCATTTTCTGGACGTCTTCAGTAAAGGGCATGATAGTGGGCACATTCCACTTTGCTTCACTGATGTTCCTCAATGCTGTAGCGAGATCAAACTCGTTCCACTTGTTCTGATGGACTTCTAGAAACTCACTGGCATTCTTAACAGCTGTTTGTCATTTGAGATTAATCCCTGAGCTTTTAAGAGTTTGCTCACTTTAACCAGGGAATTTCCAAGCTTATTTGCAAGCGATGGAATCATGAACTTGTCTGTTTCACTGTCATACCCACACGTATACTTCACAGCTTTGACAGTCTCCATGTACTTCTTTGGATTTTACACAATCTTCCATCGTTTTTAACGAGGTGACTCTCCTCGCCTTGTGAATCAACCGTCCCAATTCTCGCATCTTCTCCGCACATACTGTTGATTTTTGGCTGATATCCCTCCTTTGTTCAACAAGTGCTGCCCAATTTCAGTAATTACTTTGTCATTTTTTATAATATCTGTGATTGGTCAGGATTCATGGCACTGATTACTCCCCACAGTTGTTTGGTCATGTTTGAAGGCACAGGCCCCGTGTATGTACACATGGACTGAACACGGTTTTTTCCTGGTTTGGGGGGGACTGACTGAGGTTTAAGTCTGCAAGAACGCATATGTCGCCAAAGGACCTTTCTCGTAAAAAGTCCTTGACAGTATGCACAATGCATGAAATCCTCTCCCAGTGCTTTTTTAGGTGGTCGTTTAAATGGCACCAGTCCCCCTTTCCTGATTCCATAACCGCAGCATTGTGGGCATAGTTCCCTTTGTTGCGAATATAATCCAACTGTTTTTTTCTCTCCTTTGAACATTTTGGAAAGCTTAGAGCTCTAGCCACATCAGATGTATTTGCATGTGAACTTTCTAGATGCCTTGCCATCTTAGCGTAAGGTTTGGAGCAATACAAGCAGTAATGTCTCTTGTTATACACTCTACCACCATCTCTTTTATGGTATGCATTAACAACTACGCAGTCTATTGTGTTCTGACTTGAACTGGGCTCTTCTACTGTTCAGATGCTTTAGACGTAACGCTGTGCATATTGTCTGACGTTGTTGAGTCACAGTCAGGGGAGCTTACAGAGGCAGATTCATTCATATCCAGTTGATCAAGAAGCTGACGTTTTGTTGGGTTCAGTGTAGGCTAACATCACTGTCACAGTCACTGTCGGAAGTGGTATCTGGAACATAATTATCTGAACTCTCTGGTGTAGAATCAAAGAGCTCACCAGAATCTTGAAGATCAATGTCTTTTTCATCTTAAAAGTAAACAAGAAACATCAAAAAGTTCATTAGAAATAGGTAGAACTGCTGCATTTAATTGATCATTAAAAGATATAAATTGGCAACTATTTTAAAAAAAAGTACTGTTCAAGTATTTTTTTTAAATTTACAAGTTACATGTGATTTGCAGCTTCTTACTGCTTGTTACACTAAGTTCTTAAGTGTAATAAACATTTTGGGCAGTTGATCTGACCACAAATAAGGACATCTGATTTCAAATAAAGGGGATGCGATTTTTTTGATTCACTGATATTTTGCAGTCAAAATGATTTATCACATAATTTATTAATTACATAGCCTAAATTATATTTCACTGAGTGATTGATGGAGAATAAAATGTTGATGGCAGCTCTAAGCAAAATAACTTATCAATAACAAATGACAATGGTTACGTTTACATGCAACCAAATAATCCATTAGAAATCAGACTGACGGCTAAAGGAGAACTCCGGCGAACAATGAACCTTTGGTCTAATAAAACATTGGTACCTAGTCAATCGTTCTCTTTGATGAGATTTGAGATCATGAGATTTATTTTCATGATAATCGAATGTAAAGAGTTTTATCTCTAAAAACTGTTTAGCGTATAATGCTAGTAATGGGGGCATTGACCAAGTAAAAAGAAATCGCTAGTTTATACCACTAACAAGGCTCAAAATAGCCCACGCTAACACAGTAACATAATGAGGCTCCATACATGCAAAACGAAGCATTTGAGAACTTTGTAAGTGTACAGACCGTTTAATAAGAAGATACTTTATGAAGACGGTTCACTTTGTGTATACAGACAGGAGCCATCTTAAAAAAGTCTCGATAAGTCAAACCCACGAACGACGTTCATACAGTTCAGAAGTTCGATGAACTTCATACAGTTCAGATCACTCAGCACGACGTTCGTGGTTTGACTTATCGAGACTTATTTTCTAAGATGGCTTCTGTTCTGCATACATTAACAGTGAACTGTCTTCATAAAGTATCTTCTTATTAAACGGTCTGTACACTTACAAAGTTCTCAATGCTTCGTTTTGCATGTATGGAGCCTCATTATGTTACTGCGTTAGTGTGGGGCTATTTTGAGCCTTGTTAGTGGTATAAACTAGCGATTTCTTTTACTTATCAATGCCCCCATTACTAGCATTATACGCTAAACAGTTTTTAGAGATAAAACTCTTTATATTCGATTATCATGAAAACAAATCTCAGAGAACGATTGACTATGTACCGATGTATTATTAGACCAAAGGTTCATTGTTCGCCAGAGTCTCCTTTAATCAGACTGAAAAGCCTTCATATGCAAACACTTTATCCTATGT